ATTCTATTCAAATTCAAAATTATTTCAAACAATGGGGCGCCTGGGTGGCTTAGTCGGTTAAGCGTCCGACTTTCGCTTAGGTCATGATCTCGCGGTTCGTGGGTTCAAGCCCCGCGTCGGGCTCTGTGCTGACTGCCAGCTCGGAGCCTGGAGCCTGNAGTTTGATGGCTCAGTAAAATCTCAGACTTTTCAGATATTGACAGATTCCTGGCAAGAAGAGCTGATAACAACGATGCAGTCCTAAAGCCTGAGAATTTTAATCAAAATTGAATGGTTGATATAAAATCAATTTTGTGTAGGGGCGCCTGGCTGGCTTAGTCGGTTACGTGTCCGACTTTCGCTTAGGTCATGATCTCACAGTTCGTGGGTTCGAGCCCCGCGTCGGGATCTGTGCTGACTGCCAGCTCGGAGCCTGGAGCCTGTTTCAGAGTCTGTCACTCCCTCTCTCTCTGACCCTCCCCTGCTCACGCTGCCTCTCTCTCTCCTAGAAAGAAATGAAAAACATTTAAAAAAAATTTAAAAAAAAATTATTTCAAACAAGTCCAGTTGGTGTAGGGATTAGTAAGAGCTAGAGCAGTCACTGTTGCCCGAGCCCCTGCTGTGGAAGTGTGCATGGGAGCCCTTGTCAACTCTCGTTCACCTTTGTCCTACAGGAAAAGAAGAAGCAGAGGCTGCCCTGGAGAAGGGGGATGAGAATGCTGAATGTCACCAGTGGTAATAACAAGCTACGGGGTCACGGGAAGAGTCAGCATGAGTTAGAGTGGAAGAGAGCCATTTTTCTGCCCTGACCACAAAGGTGTTTGCCAGAGACAGGAGAGGGAGCTTTGGCCTTTGGGCCTCCCCCAAACCAGGGACCAAGAGGTTTTCTTTGGAAGGTGCCTTGGGAGTGAGGCAGGGGGAATAGGAGGAATTGTTGTTGATGAGGCTTAGAGAAACACATAGCTTTTTTTTTTTTTTATTTTATAAGATATGCGCTGTTTATTTTCTGTGGTACTTCTGACACCCTATCAGTTTTATTCTGATAAAGGAGAATAAAGAGCTCCAGAAATGCTTCACGTTACAGTTCATGGCCCTATCTAACCATGACATTAGATAACAGATGGATCCAAAATAATACCTAGTTACTTTGCTATGGAGTAGAAATAAAAAGAGGAGAAACACATAGCTCTTTAAGAGTCATCCCAGCTACAACATTTGTGGGTTCTCGGCTCTGCAGGGAAGCTAGCACGGTTGTAGTCTGTCCTCAAGCTCTTCCTTCCCCTAGCTGCAGTCCCTGGCTGCTGGTGGACTTTGGCTTCTCTGCGTGGCTTGCATGAGTTAGTTTATTAGCTTACAAAAACAGCCGTTTGTGTTGTGTGAGGGAAGGTTCTGCCAACTTCCACGGGTCAAGTCCAACCTGTGGAACTTGTGTCCTAGGGCCTGGTTCCAGTACCTCAAGAGTTTTTAGTGAAAATTCCCTTCCCACCTCCCCTTTGCTTTCCATAGTTCTGTCCTCAGATGGTCTCTGCAAGAGCTCCTTTCAGGGATCTGGGCATTGGTGCCACTTCCTGTGTTCTTCCTTGGGGCCTCTGGACTCCCAAGGAAAGAAAATAGTCTTAAACTTTATTCTTGGGCAACAGCTGTTTGGAGGAAATACGGAAATGAGCCTCTGGAAGCATCAGATACAGATGCCCCCAGACATTTAAGTGAATAAATGAAAAGGCAACTTGGGTCTCTAGTCACTTATTTAATGTCAATTGTTTCTAGAAACAATGCTGGGAAGATAGGGTAGGAAGATATTTGTTTTTGAGGATGGGAAGCTGCCTGGCTTTGTTCCCTCCGTGGGTGGGAGGATATGGAGAGGACATAAATCTGAAGCCTTTATCAGCTTCTGCTGGTTCCCAAACCAACATTAGAATTTCCTATAGTATCCCATCCCCATATGCCCCCAAGTAAAGCTTCCCAAGGACATACCTATATACTTCTAAAGCTAATGAGACCTTCTTTTAGTGTCTGATCAGGAGATAAGCAGCAGTATAGTTAGGTCTCTTACATTTTGACCCCCCCCCCCCCACACCCTGCTATACTCATCATATGGGGAAACTGGTAGAGATTTGTCCTGAGACATTGGCTAATAAATGTTAAGTATGAGAAGTTTCCTATGGTGGACCTCACTTTTTTGTACCTAGCATACTTTGGAGAATTGTGAGCCTACCATTGTTTGTTAAAGAATGTGAATTGGGACCACCGATCTATGAAAAGAGATTTATACATACAGAAATGCTATTTTTGGCTCTACTTGAGGGGGTAGAGGGCAGTTGATGAGAAGCCCATTCCTTGTCCTTGAGCTTGCTGCCGCTTTCCCCCATAGGTATGCAGTGCTTTGTGGTCAGCTGGCTGAGCATGAGAGCATCCAGAGGCGTATCCAGAGTGGCTTTAGCTTCAAGGTGAGGAAAGGCTTCTCTTCCTTTCCTTGTACTGCTCTATTCCAGACCCCTGCTCTGTCCTAGCTCCTTGCAAAGGGTGCACCTGCAGTGTCTATGACTTGCTCTCCTTGCCTTAGTTAACTCTGATGGTAGTTTGTACTTCATTTCCCCTCTCAGGAGCATGTGGACAAAGCCATTGCTCTCCAGCCAGAAAACCCTATGGCTCACTTCCTTCTTGGCAGGTGGTGCTACCAGGTGAGCTAAATTCTGGGGCCTGATATCAAGGCCCTAAGGGTCCTGTGACACTGATATCCTTGCAGTGAAAACCTGCAAGCATGGGCTGTAGCCTGGTATGGCTCAAGAGCCATTTCCTGTGAATGACTGTGTTATGGGTGATTGGACCCAGCCCTATCTGACCATGTTTTAAGTATACCATATTCGATGTTCTTAAAGATATTTAAAACTTTTTATTCACACCTTGCTCTTTTGGTGGCAGGTTTCTCACCTGAGCTGGCTCGAGAAAAAAACTGCTACAGCCTTGTTCGAAAGCCCTCTCAGTGCCACTGTGCAGGATGCCCTCCAGAGCTTCTTAAAGGTATTGGGAATGAAAGGACAGATTATTGGTAGGGAGCAATTTTCTAATGGAAAATCAGAACCACTTGGACAGCTTATAAAAATAGATTTCCCTGGACCACTGGATCAGTCAGTCTTCAGATTGGAGACTGGAAAGCTCTATTTAATAAACCTTAGCCTGACTTGAACATGGTAATCCCTTTACTGAAAGGCCTTTCTCCCTATTCTAGGCTGAAGAACTACAGCCAGGATTTTCCAAAGCAGGGAGGGTATATATTTCCAAGGTAAAATCACTTGCCTTTTTCAACATAGATGAAAATATGCATGTTGATGTTGAGATTTGTGGGAAGTCCTGAAAGTCTAGTCTCCTGGTGGTATTTCTCCCAGGTTTTCACTGTTGTATCTTTTCAGTGCTACAGGGAACTAGGAAAAAATTCTGAAGCTAGACAGTGGATGAAGTTAGCTTTGGAGTTGCCAGATGTCACCAATGAGGTAATACTTTGAAGAGCTATTGAATCATGTGACCTGTTTTCAGGAAAGAATTTTCCCTAGAAAATTTTCCATGTAGGCTCTTTTATATATATATCTCAGCTAGGGGGGAGGCAGATCTTGTAGGCTGTCTTGCAAAAGAAGGTAAAAGACTAACTCGGGGACCCTTCTCCGGTATCAGTGGTTTGGAAAATGTTGGCTTAGACTTTTGAGTTCTGGTCTAGTTTCCCTCCCCCCCCCCTCTTGTTTCCTTAGGATTCAGCTTTCCAGAAGGACTTGGAAGAATTGGAAGTAATTTTAAGAGAATAATCACATTTCAATGACCTTCATGAATGAATTGAGGAAAACTGCCCTTATTAGATCAGGAATCTAAGATTAAGTGAGGGTCCTAACTTCCGAGCCTGACTGGTATTTATAACCAATCCCCAATTTCTTTCCTGTTGTCCACTGTTTAATTTATTCTAATCCCTTATCTAATCTGAAATTGGGGAAGGATTTGAGGCCTGGGAATTTCTGTAGTCCTCTTAAGTGAATTCTTGAAAAACCAAGACTGGCACTGAAGGCTGCCTTCAGCCTGTGGTGGATTAACTTCAAAGAGCTATAGGAACAAAACACAGAACTGTACTCACTAATCTTTTCTACTGATTAATACTCAACACCAAAGTATATAGTCCTAAGACCATACCTGGTCTATGGTCCTGGCAGCCCAAGGACATTGCCCTCTTCTCCTGTATCATGTGAATTCTGTCTGTATTCCTGGGCTGAGGGGCTGGACTGCTGGACTTCCAGAATCCTGGCAGCTTTTGGAAGGGCACCAGTGCATAAGACTTACGAGACTGTGAAATGATGTGAGGAGTTGCCTGGAATATATTTTGGTACAACCTGAAATAAACCAAATTTGATTAGAAGTCACTGTATTCCCCTTTCTATGGTTGCTATCAACTCCTTTCTTGCTTGATATTTCCATAACTATTTCCTATTACAGAAGCAATTGCAGACAAGTAGAAAAATAGCACCTAATAGTTTAAGCTCTTTTCAGTGAAATTTTAGTTACATGTAAAAGAGGCCTGCCAAGGTCTATTCCAACTAGGTGACTCCTATGGCCAACAGGACAAAGCCTCACCTCACCTGATAAATCCCACCTACAAGGATAATTGAGACAAATTTACAGCACTAAAGGATTGAAATGCTTTTACTTCCATTCCAGAAGCTGTCACTCTGGCTTCCTATACCATCCCAGGTTTGTTTTGTAGTCTAGAAAGGAAAGAGAACACCTGAAAGATACTCCATTCTTTAAACAAGTACTAGCTGAGAGGCCCTCTGAAATTTGAAGAGGTGGTTAAAATCCATCCTGAAGAGTCTGGACAAGTAACAGGACTCTGTAACATAAGACTTATTACAAAGGCCACAGGAAAGTCACTGGATATTCATCTTGTAATAATGTCTATTACATTGAAAGGTAGTAAGCTCAATTATCTCAATATTTTAAAGGCCCTCTCTTGAAATATCAACTTACACAGAATAACTCCTATAAATAGCACAAATAACTACTTTATTAGTAGCCCCATACTAAATCTACTTAAAGAGCTTCTGAAATGTTTAAGATTCCAGAATTACCTTGAGTTACTCTTAGCAGTTAAAAAAACAAGCACATAGATAGATATTGAAGGGCTGGTGGCCCAGTAGGCCTGCTCAGTAGCCCTTAAATAAAACAATTGTTATATAATTTAGGCAAACTAACTTAAAAACCTACTTCTGACAGAGTTTTACTGACATGCCAAAAAAACCTGTGAGGAGACCCACTTCCTTTGCTACCCAGGCATTTCAACATTATTCAGATAGTGAGAGAAGAGTCCATCCAGTCCCCCCAGCTTTTGTCTCCAAGGGAACTAAAGATTGTCCAAGAGACAGCTATTAGTCCCAAGTCAATCCTAAGGCACAATGTCAAAGGTATTCCTTACTTGCCCCAAAATAGTTCACATAGAGATTAGTAAACTCCAGACAGAATAAACATTTCAGATCAGTTTGTGATTACTGATCTGTCTCCTGTTTACACCATCAGAAAAGCTGATATAATAGCTGTTTTTCCGGAAGCCTTTTCCTGGCAGTCACAACAGGAAGAGGCCTGTGAAGAACTCCCAGGGAGCAGTCCACTCCATGCTGTAGGACTTAGCTTTATCACAGGAAAAACCCCAGTGATTCAGTCTTTGGCATCCCCCACTCCATCTGCATTGATGGCAAACATAGCTTCAGCTTCAGGAAGACAGGGAGAGTCGTAGATTTTGCAGATTCTGGTTTCCCCTCTTCCTTTTCTCAGATACAGTCTGACCCAAAGAAACAAACCAAAGTTATAATTTAAAAATCTTTTTCCTATTTATGGTAGATATGAATTTTTTCCAGACATATATACTTCCTAGGAGTTTGTGGATCTTTCTGTATTCCTTAGGGACATTTCCAACCTAGAGGAATCAACTTCTATCCTGCTTCCAGCTTAGTGGATTTTCCATTTTGAAATAACTTTTTTTACTAACCAGGAAAAGGCCTATCTTTGATATTCATTCTTCCACATTTGGGGGCTTTTAATTCCTTTGTAAACTAAAAGCAAAGATCTGTTCTAACCACGGCGTGACAACTAAGTTTAGCAAGGACTCCTGTGTCTAATACAACAAAAGCTTTAAAGGGTTTAATGGAAATATTATATCTTCATGTCTACTTCAGTTAATACGACATTCCAAGACAAAATCACTTATCCCATCACTTTACCTGGTTGTTGAGGCATGAGCAATGATGTTTCCTCCAATAGGTTTTTTAGGATCTGCAGCAAACATGGCTGCTCCATCCACTTGGGCTACCACCTGGTTGGTGATCACCACTGCTACACCAAACTGACGGGAAAGGATAAATGTCATTTTTTGTGGCTATATAGTCAAAGAACTACTGCTGCCACCCCTTTCCCCAAAAAGTAAGAATGATTAATACATGTATCTCTTCCTACCTGTTATCCTCATGACACCAGGCACTGATATTCTGACCTCCCAGCAAGGGCCCTGAAAATTAGGCATTATTGGTCCCTATCCCACAACTCACCTCATCAGCAAGTCGCAGAAGCATCCGCAGAAACCTGGCCAAGTGCATCTGCCTGGCTGAGAGCTCCCCTCGACCCGAATAGTCAGTTCTGTAGAGGGCAGTGGCACTGTCTACAATTAGCAGTGCATACCTATAGGGAACAACGACTCTATGAAACCTGTTTCTAGCCTGTGTCAGATTCTGCTCCCTTCCTTACTACCCTAAACTTTCATATTCATAGTTACTCATAAATGTTTTATTAAAATATTGGTACAGTATTCATGTCTGAAGGACTATATAAAATTTTCAGTAAGTTCAAGTGGACTATGACTTAATTTTGAAGTTTATTTTGAGAAAGAGAGCACGGGCCAGAGAGGGTTAGAAGTAGAGACAGAATCCCAAGCAGGCTCTGCAACATCAGTGGAGAGCCCAATGCGGGGCTTGAACTCACAAACTGGGAGAACATGACCTGAGCCGAGATCAAAAGTCGGATGCTTAACTGGCTGCAACACCCAGGTGCCCCAATCTTTTTTTTAAAGTAATGACACTCCATGTGGGGTTCAAACTCATGACCCTGAGATCAAGAGTTGCATGCTTCTCTGAGCCAGCCAGGTGCCCAATGGCTGCCTTTTTTTTTTTTTTTTTTTTTGAGACAAGACCTGAACCCACAGTGCAAGAATGTAGAACTAAAACTTACATCTTCCATTTTCTAATTCAAGTTACTATCAATTTTGCCAACAAGCCTACATAAAATTCAGGGTAAGGGCTCTGAGAACATATTCCATGTCTTCTACTGAGCACATACCTAGATTCTACCATCATGGCTGATGCTTGATAAAGGAGCTGGGTCTGGTGGTCTGTGTTGAACCCGCGAGCATATGCTACATTATCCAGGACATCACTGCCAGAGAGACCATATCTAGAAGAGAATAGAGAACATTTTTAGACTGCACACAAAACCCAGGCAGACTGGAAATTAATTTCTAACAAATTACTTGGATGATCAGGCAAGAAGTGTTATGGCTAAAGAATATTAATTCCCTTTCTATTAGACGCAGAAGGAGTAGATCTGCTGGGCAGTACTTCAGGATAAATCAAATTTAGTCTTTGAAGACTCCTGAGCCAAAGCAAGAAATTTCCAAATACAACGTTCCAAATGTTCTCCTAGAAAAACCAAAGCAACGTAACAGAATTGGAACTGAAAAAGTAATCACTCAAATCAAATTCATATAGCCTATTATACAGGAATAAAACTTTCTTTTTAAAAAATTTTTTTAAATGTTCATTTATTATTGAGACAGAGAGAAACACAGCATGAATGGGGGAGGGACAGAGAGAGAGGGAGACACAGAATCCGAAGCAGTCTCCAGGCTCTGAGCTGAATTCAGAAGGATTCAGAGCCCAATGCGCGGCTCGAACCCATGAACTGTGAGATCATGACCTGAGACGAAGTCGGACACTCAACCGACTAAGCCACCCAGGCGCCCCAGGAATAAAACTTTCCAAGAAGACTCAAGTTCAAGAGAAACAAGTGTGTTTCCTTTTTTAAAATAAAGGTTTTCACTTTTTAAAAAAAGTTCATTTATTTTGAGAGAGCAAGCAAGCAGGGGAGGCAGAGAGAAAGGAGGAGGAGAGAATCCTAAGCAGATTCTATACTGTCAGCATGAAGCCCAACTCGGGGCTCTATCACAAACTGTAAGAGCATGACCTGAGCCTAAATCAAGAGTCTGACACTTAACTGAGTCACCCAGGTGCCCCTGTATTTCATTTCTTCTCTTTTCTTGCTAGTAACCAGTTACACCTAAGATAGATTATATGACATATATCCAGTATGGTTAAATAAGTGATACCTTAATTCATCTTATACTTCAATAATGATTTTCTCCTTTGCATTTTGAGAGAGAGCACACGAGAGTGGGGGAGGGACAGAGAGTAGGAGAGAGAAAGAATCCAAACCAGGCTCCTTGCTAACAGCTCAGCGCTGAACTTGGGGCGTGATTCTACAACCATGAAATCATGACCTGAGCTAAAACCAAGAGTCAGACACAACCGGCTAAGCAACCCAGGCTCCCTTCCTTTTAGCAAATAAGAGGCCTCTTTTTCGGACTTTCTCAAAATAAATAAAAAATTTTCAAAAAAGTCAAATAGGATATCTTCTGGGGCGCCTGGGTGGCTTAGTCGGTTAAGCGTCCGACTTTCGTTTAGGTCATGATCTCGCAGTTCGTGGGTTCGAGCCCCGCGTCGGGCTCTGTGCTGACTGCCGGCTCAGAGCCTGGAGCCTGTTTCAGTCTGTGACTCCCTCTCTCTCTGACCCTCCCCTGCTCACGCTGTCTCTCTCTCCCGGAAATAAATAAAAAAACATTAAAAAAATTAAAAAAAAAAAAAAAAGATATCTTCTGTTTTCTTAGAATAATCTTTTTTTCCTTACACCTCTATAACTGCTACCTTAAGACTCGAATGCTCAAAGTGGTATAAGACAATTTTTATTTTCATTAAATATGCCATAATGGCACCCCATTTCTTCACAGATGCTTTTATTTTATCCATCTACCAAGATACCACTAAATGCTTGCATTTTTACAAAGCTTCCCCCTGCACCTCTCAAATAGATGTGATTCTCCCTCTTCTGCACTTTCAGAAAATGTCGTTTAGGACTTTCTATGGCATTTTTGAGCCATCCTACCATTCTTTTACTAGACTACAAATTTCTTCAGGGAAAAAAACTAGACCTCTCTTTTCTAGCACATTTTTATACCTAATAAATTCTGAATAAATATTACTGAATAAAACTTTTATCCACAATGCAAACAAAAAGAATATCACCTTACCCAAGTATTTTCATATTAATGTGACCTAAAATCATTACAGTTCAAAAATACAACACCAACTCCCCTATGTCATAGTTTAAAAGAGAATTTGTTTAAACAAATCAAGGCACTGTAATTCTTTGAGAACCATAAGTTTCTATGTTTATTATTTTATCAGTCTTTTACAGAAACAGTCTATGTGTAGACTCTTATCTTTACAAAAGCATACACCGCATTAAACCTATTCTGAGATTAAGCTTAATAGTTTTTCTCTGACTTTTCCTCCCCAAAAGAATAGAAAAACAAAGGAATAATATAGCATTTGGATAGAGGACTGCAATGAGGTGAATCTCAGTATCAGGAGATCTCATTCTAACCAACTGAATTTTCCACATCATCTTTATACTTTCATGGGCACTTCACCTGCTATTCTTTGTACTAAACAAGTACATGTTTAGTTTTGGCATTAATTGGATTGATGACAACGAATTATCAAGTCTGAGCATGAAGATAATGAGATGCAATAAGGATAAAGTTTTACCTTGGAATCCTGATCAATTAAACTGGGAATAAGAAGATTAAAATTTCCATATTTAAATCATGGCTGTAAGAAAAAAGGTGCAAGAGGCCCAAGTACTTACTGCACTACACAAGTCTAGATTTGCTCAAAACAAAAATATCTATCAGGAAAGGAAATTGTCTTTTGCTATAAGAATATGGATGCCTCACCAGAAGAAGTTGACCTGGCCTGTCAGCAGCATTCACAAGAAACACTATAGGGATCTCTGTACTTACATTCCTGAAGCAGCACATGGAATTTTCAATTCCCACAATGTGGAAAGAGTTGGCTGGAAATAAGTATCAACTCTCAAAGTGTTTCTAGAACTTCCTCAAAGAATAACCTGGAACACCTATTAAAAAGGTGGGCCTACCTAAGACTTAATCACAACTTGGAGGGGGGAACAGGTGTGGTAATTTGTGTATTTAACAAATACCTCAGGTGATTCTTAACATGTAAGTATGAAAAATAGCTATACTGCTTCAAGGGAGTTCTGCCATTCTTTCAGAGTATTTAAAAACTTTCAAAAAAAAGGTGATGACACTGTAGCTAGCAATTATGGCCATGACTTTTAAACTTTAGCAAGCATCGATATCACCTGGAGAGCTTGTTAAAACATTTCTGGACCCTATTTTAATTCTCTAACAGCTTTTGATTCAGCAGAATGTGGACTGGAGTCAGAGAATTTATACTGTGAACAAGTTCCCAGGTGATGCTAACACAGCTATACTGAGGACTATGTTCTGAAGAAGCCCTGAGCTCTAGTAACCTGGATATGGGTCAGTATTCTTCAATAAAAGCTAATGAGGGTTGTTCTGTTGTGAAGGGAAATTAGGTACTAAAGGAGGCGCTGTTACTTTCTCAGTACTGTAATATAAATGCAATATACATAAACAGAAATTTAATCACAAGAAGATTTCTTGATAGGTAGGAGTGATAAAATTTCTATTTAAACATTTTCCTTGTTTGCAACTCTTGATCTCATGGTTGTGGGTCTGAGTCCCATGTTGGGTATAGAGATTAAAAATAAAATCTTTAAAAAATATACAATAGTGGGGCGCCTGGGTGGCTCAGTCAGTTAAGTGTCCAACTTCGGCTCAGGTCATGATCTCAGAGTTTGTGGGTTCGAGCCCTGCGTCAGGCTCTGTGCTGACAGCTAGCTCAGAGCCTGGAGCCTGTCTTCAGATTCTGTGTCTCCCTCTCTCTACCCTCCCCTGCTCATGCTGCCTCTTTCTCTCTCTCTCAGAAATTTAAAAAAATTAAATAAAAAATATACAATAGGGATGGCCTGAGTGGCTCAGTCAGTTAAGCATCTGACTTTAGCTAAGGTCATGATCTCGCTGTTCAAGCCCCGCATCAGGCTCTGTGCTGAATGCTTGCTCAGAGCCTGGAGCCTGTCTTCAGATTCTGTGTCTCCCTCTCTCTACCCTCCCCTGCTCATGCTGCCTCTTTCTCTCTCTCTCAGAAATTTAAAAAAATTAAATAAAAAATATACAATAGGGATGGCCTGAGTGGCTCAGTCAGTTAAGCATCTGACTTTAGCTAAGGTCATGATCTCGCTGTTCAAGCCCCGCATCAGGCTCTGTGCTGAATGCTTGCTCAGAGCCTGGAGCCTGTTTCAGGATTCTGTGTCTCCTTCTCTCTCTCTCTGCCCCTCTCCCGCTCACACTCTGTCTTATTCTGTCTCTCAAAAATAAATAAATGTAAAAAAATTAAAAAAAATTAAATACAATAAAATTTTTTTCCTTTAGTTGACCAACAGCCATAAACATAGCCCTAATAAATACTAAGTCATTCATTAATAAATGCCAAATGCCCTTTTCTATGGCTTAGGTAGACAGTGAGTGATCAAATTAAAGCCCTGTCCTCAGAGCCAACATTCTACTATCTCATCTATCCTATCTGAACACTCATTTATGTTACTTGGCAAAATTCTAACTCAAACTCAGCTACCAAAACAGTATACTTAAAAGTGTGGGGGTGCCTGGGTGGCTCAGTCGGTTAAGTGTCCGACTTCGGCTCAGGTCATGCATGATCTCATGGCTTGTGAGTTCAAGCCCCGCGTCGGGCTCTCTGCTGACAGCTCGGAGCCTGGAGCCTTGCTTCATCTGTATCTCTTTCTCTCTCTGCCCCTCCCCTGTCTGTCAAAAAAAAAAAAAAAAAAAAAAAAAAAAAAGTTAAAAGTGTGATTTCTGTACAAGAACAAAAATAACTTTGGGAGGGAAGATACAGTTTAGTATACTCATCTTTGCAAAATTAAGATCAGAGGCACCTGGGTGGCTCAGTTGGTTGAGTGTCTGACTTAGGCTAGGTCATGATCTTGCCATTAGTGAGTTTGAGCCCCACGCTGGGCTTGCTGCTGTCAAACTGGATTCTCTGTCGCACTCTCTCTGTCCCTCCCCTACTTACGCTCTCACTCTCAAAATTAAACATTAAAAAAAAAAAAAAGGAAAAAAACAAAGATCAGGTTGCAAGGGATTGATTCTTTTTTTCCTGACAGATTTTGTAAGCAGACACAAAGAGCTACAATTATGTTTCCAACTGATTTTTTTCCCGTCAATGGTGTATGTTTGATAGCTTGGATTCCTCAAATTGTAAACTGGGAAAGAAAATTTGGTTCTAATTCTAAAATTAAAAAAGAAAATTCTCTTCAACTTGGCCAGTCATCAAGTTCCAACTTGAGTCTGATGTCTCAACATGCAATTAAATTATATTTAATCACTAGGTTTCAGTAAAATGTGTGGTAGGGACCAAATTATCACATTTGACTCTAGAGAAGGGAAATTAAAACAATTTCAAAGAGTTTATTTGAAAGATGTATTCAGGGACAGAGAAACTTATATATTTGTTACCAATTTTACTGAGGTATAATTTATATAAGCCATATAATTGACCTGCTTTAAGAGTACAACTAGATGACTTTTTAGTAATAAAATCTGCAGATTTGTACAACCATTACCACTATCCAATTTTAAAACATTTCTGTCTTCCTAAGAAGATCTATCAAGTATATATGCAGTTTACTTCCTGTTCCTACTCCCTGCCCAGGCAACCACTTATCTATTGTCTCTACAGATCTCCTTCTGGAAATTTCATATAAGTGAAATTATATAATATATGGTCTTATGTGTCTAGCTTAAATCATTTAGTATGTCTTCTGAGGTTCATCAACATGCATCGGTACTTTATTCCTTTCTATTGTTGAATAGTACTCCACTGTATACATAAACCAGATTTTGTTTATTCACTCACGAGTTGATTGACAACTGGGTTATGTGCAGTTACGGGCTATTATAACAATACTATAAAGTCTATATACAAGTCTGTATGTGGATATGTTTTCATATCTCTTGGGTACATAACCAGAGTAAAACTGCTGGGTTATATGGTAATTTTATATTTAAGTGCCACACTGTTTTCCAAAGTGACTGGACCATTTTACATTCTTACCAGCAATTAGGATTCCAGTTTCTTCACATCCTCCCTAACACTTGTTACTACCTTTTTTATATTACAGCTATCCTGGTGGTGGTATGTCACTGTGGTTTTAATTTGTTTTTCCTCTTGACTAATGATGTTGAGGATCTTTTCATGTGCTTCTTGGCCATTTATCTTGTTTAGAGAAACAGCCATACAAAAAGTTTGTTCATTTTTTAATTGGGTTGTCTTTTTATTATTGGATTTTAAGAGATCTTTGTATACTCTGGATACTAGACCCTTCAGATACATGATTTACAAATATTTTCTGACATTCTTTAAGTTGTCTTTTCACTTTTGAAGTACAGAAGTTTTAAAATTTGATGAAATAAAAACATCAGTATTTTCTTTCATGGACTGAGTTATAGTGTTTTGAAATCTTTGCCTACCTCAAGATCACAAATATTTTTGCCTACCCTTTTGTCCTAAGTTTTATAGTATTAGTCCTTTTATTTAGGACCATCATCTTTAAAATAATAACAAAGTACATATACATGCTATATAATTGACCATTTCATCCTTTTAAAAAATAGACCGTCCAGTGGCAATAAGTACATTTCCATGGTGTACAACAATCACCACCATCCATCTCCAGAACTTTTCATCATCCCAAACTAAAACTATATCCCTTAAATAACTCCCAATTCTCCTTACCTACTGCTCCTGGGGACCACTGTTCTACTACCTTTATGAATTTGACTACTTTAAGTAACTCATTTAAAAGGAGGAGTCATAGAATATTTGTCCTTTTGTAACTGGCTTATTTCACTTAGCATGTTTTTAAGATTCATCTCATATTATGTATGAGAATTTCCTTCCTTTTTAAGATTAAATAATATTCCACTGTGTGTTTATGACATTTTGTTTATCCATTTATCTAGTGATGAGTAATTAGGTTGTTTCTACCTTTTGGCTACTGTGACTAGTAGTATGAACACTCATGTACAAGAATCAGAGTCCCTGTTTCAATTCTTTAGAGCATATACTCACAAGTGGAATTGCTGAATTATACTGTAATTCTAGGTTTAATTTTTTGAGGAGTCACCAGACTATTATCCATTTTTGTTAATTTTATATATGGCACAAGGGTCTAAATTTATCTCTTTGTATGTTGATATCCAACAACATTAGCACTATTTATTGATTATTGGGGTTGGGGAATCATTAAATTGCCTTGCCATCCGTGTCAAAAAAAATCAAGTGACTATAAATTTCATTTATATGAAAAAGCTCATTTCTGAATTCTCAGTTCTGTCTCACTGATCCACATGTCTGTCCTATGCCAGCACCACACTGTCTTAATTGTTGTTGTCTTATAGTAAGTTTTAAAATTAAGAAGACCAAGACCTCCAATTTTGTTCTTTTTCTCCATCTCCCCCATCCCAAGAATGGTTTGACTATTCTGGATCCTAGACATTTCCATGTATTTTAAAATCAGCTTGCTGATTACTGCAAAAAAGCTTCCTGAAATTTATGTACAGATTGTGCTGAATCTATAGATTAGTTTGAGGGAAAATCAAGACTTTCATAATATTATGTCTTCCAATCCATGAAGATGGACTGTTTTTCTAATTATGTAGATCTTTAATTTCTTTCATCAATGTTTTGTAGTCTTGTTAAATTTATTACTATTTTGATCTTTTTGACAGTGAATGGAATTCAGTGTGAATGATGAAATTGCTTAATTTTTGAACTGTTCATTGCTTGTATATGAAAATACAATGGATTTTTGCTTAGTGACATTGTGTCCTATAACCTTGCTGAACTAATCTAGTTCTAGTAGTTTTATGTGTATGTAGATTCCTTAGGATTTTCTACATACAGGATCATGTCACTGGTGAATAAAGATAGTTCTACATCTTCCATTCCAATCTGGATGCCTTTCATTTCATTTTCTCACCTGATTTCACAGACTAGGACCTTCAGAACATTCAGTATATTCTACCTTCAGTGGAATGTAAGTAGTGTGAGTGGACATCCTTACCTGGTTTCCAATCTTAAGGAGAAAGCATTCAGACTTTCCCATTAAGTATGATGCTAGCTACAGGTCTTTTAAAGTGAGGTATCTGTCCCTAAGCAATATGGTTAAATTGTCTATTGTGCTCTTCAATGAGGATAGGTTTTGTTTCACATATTTTGGGCCTGATAATAGCTTTGGATATGTTTATAATGTTCTATTTTCCCAATGTTCCTTTCTATCTCTCGTAATACATATTTTTTTGTCTTAAAGTCTGTATTATCTGATATTAGTATAGCCAGTCCAGCTCTCTTATGGTTACCGTTTGCAGGCAGTATCGGTTCCCATCCTGCTTCTTTCAACCTATTTGTGTTTCTGAATCTAAAGTGTTTCTCTAGAAAACACCATATAGTTGGATGTAGTTTTTTATCTACTCTGACAATAACACATAGATTTTAAAGGGCATTTTCCTTTACTAAGGAAGGTGATTCTTCTGAACTACACATAACACAGGGATACACAGAAGAGACACTCTTCAGACATACTATCTTGGCAATCACTACAGTGACAGGTGAGGCCAGATTTATCTGATCAAGTAACCTACCTCTCAGCCACTGCTAGCAGCCGTTCTGGCCTAAAGGTACCTTCAGTGTCAATGTACATGGCCTTTCCTTCTCCTCCACCTCGGTCAATGGGAAGCTAGACAGAACAAAAAGAACAGTGTAGAAATGAACACTGTACTTCTTCTGATATAACTAATCAACTTCTCTCCTCACCCCAATTAGGCAAAGGGAAAAAACACATTACAGAGACAATCAGAAGTAGGGACGAAGCATTCCCTCCTAATAGAAATACAGCTAGTTGTAAATATGAAGCTCATGGTAACCCATAACATGTGAAGCCTGAGTCCTGCTAGAGGCAGATTGTTTGGAAATATGGTCTAAAGTAGATGATAAAATTCTATGACTGCACAGCAATACAAGATTGAACAATTCTCTCAAGAATACAAACATTTAAAAAAATTTTTTTTCAAATCTGATTATCTAATGTTTATTTTTGACAGAGAGTGAGAGAGAAGGCGAGTGAGTGAGACCACGGGGCAGGATAAAAGGCTAAGGAAGACACAGGGTCTGCATTGTTAGCATAGAGCCTGATGTGGGGCTCAAACCCATGAACCTAAGCGAGATCATGACCTAAGCTGAAGTTGGATGCTTAACTGACTGAGCTACCCATGATCCCGGAGTACAAACATTTGAAAGATAATTTACTACCTTAGCTTATAAGTTTAAAGCATGACCAAGAAAGAAGACCCATGCCAGGCAACTTTTGAGTTCTACAGATTTTAAGTGACTGATGCTCAAGGGTAGTTTCCACTCTAGAAATCTATTTTGGAGTCATAATTCGCCTTTGAATTCTGAGGAAAATCCTTTAGAACATTTTACATTAAGGGCCTAGTATCATCAAAATTTCTTTATTTTCTTATTTCTGAGAAAACCCTTTTCAAAATTATAAAAGTACTATATGCTTGACTTAAAAATTCACAATATAGAAATAAGCAGAGCAAAAACGGAAAGCTCTTCTTTATCACTCCCATCCCCCAGAAGTAATCTTATCTAGGCATTTTCATATAAAGACTTTTCATATGTGGTTCTACCATTACCATGTGACCTTGAAAATATTAATCTGTTTCCTTTTCTGTAAAATCTAGATAAAACCCAAAAACTTGATATGCTCCCTTATGGCGCTGACCTTAGCGCTCAGTTACAAAGGCTTTGTTAATTTGGAAAGATGGAAAAGATTGTTATCATTTAGTAAGTTGGCAGATAAATCTTTCAAATCCTAAGAATCTATGGAAGGAGAAAATATGTGTACAACAAAAGAAGGTCTCAACAGAGGAAATATTTGGAATCACTGGCCAAGAGGACAGCAAAGGCTGACAAGAGAGAGTTCTTTTCTAGCTTTAGGACCTTTTGGGAGACCACAGGTGGCTGGGTACAGGTAGGCAGACTGACAAAAAAGTGTACAAGGTCCCAGTGTGTTATTGAGCCGATCTCAAGGGTATAGACTACATGCTCTATGCTCCAGCCCATTCTGTCCCCTCCATCCTGCCCTCCAGTGCCACTGCAATCATCTTGTGTTACTGGACTGGGACACCACAACCAAGTTAACTATTTTTAATAACTGCTTAGTACCATAATTTCGCTTTTTCCTAATTAACAATGATAGAGGCTGTTTTGAACTTTCACCACTTTATAATGCCACGGTATAAATTCTTTGTACATTTATCCCTGACTTCATGTAAAAAATTGTGGATGCCACATTAAAAAGAAATTTTTTAATGTCTGTTTCTTTTTGAGAAAGAGAAACAGCATGAGGGAGGAGGGGCAGAGAAACAGGGAGACACAAAATCTGAAGGAGGCTCCAGGCTCTGAGCTGTCAGTACAGAGCCCGATGCAAGGCTCAAACTCACCAACTGTGATGTCAAGACCTGAGCCAAAGTTGGATGCTACACCAACTGAGCCATCCAGGTATCCCTCGGAAGCCACATTTTCTGTCAAAGTGCATATGCATTCAAATTTTGATAAACTGGGGCGCCTGGGTGGCTTAGTCGGTTAAGCGTCCGACTTTCGCTTAGGTCATGATCTCGCGGTTCGTGGGTTCGAGCCCCGCGTCGGGCTCTGTGCTGACTGCCAGCTCAGAGCCTGGAGCCTATTTCAGTCTGTGACTCCCTCTCTCTCTGACCCTCCCCTGCTCACGCTGTCTCTCTCTCTCTCTCTCCTAGAAATAAATAAAACATTAAAAAAAAAAAAAATTAAAAAAAAAATTTTGATAAACCAACTTCTCTGAATTTAAAAATTTCTCTAGTACTTTGAACAAACATGGGCTGTTCATTTTTGTAATTATGGCTCTCAAATTTACATAAGTTCATTATTAGACAGAGATCTAATGTAATAGAATTTTACTTCATTAAGTTAAGAAAATCTCAACAAATGAGAGCAGACAATGTTTAGATTCATGCAGTAATCTAACATCCTCTCTATATCTACAACTCCAGCTCTTAGGCTGTTAAAATATAAGCCTTTCTGTTATCAATGAATGAGCATGATTTGTCTCTTAAAAAAAAAAAAAAAAAGCTCTATAGGTGTTCAGCCAGTTGTGAATGTTCAGTTATTTTTATAGAGAGGATATGGTTAAGAATTTTGCTTCAATTTATTGACAGGCATAATCTGACTAATAAATAGTCCCAGGATAGGATTCTGTTTGCACAGCTGAAGAGCATAAGTGCGATATACACAGTTGCCCTAGCCACTACAGATACTGCGTACTGTACTCTAAATATTTATTCCACACGAATCTGTCAAAACAACATCCTGAAAACATTTCTACCTAAAAAGGTCACACATGATGTCAAACAAGCCACATAATGGTGCTATTTCCTTTCGCTAATAGTCTTAAATTTTTTTAATGTTTATTCATTTTTGAGAGAGAGAGTGCGAGCATGAGGATGAGCAGGGGAGGGGCAGAGAGAAAGGGAGACACAGAATCCAAAGCAGGCTCCAGGCTCTGAGCTGTCAGCACAGACCCCAATGCTGGGCTTGAACCTACAAACTATGAAGTCATGACCTGAGCTGAAGTCAGAGGCTTAAGCGACTGAGCCACCCAGGAGCCCCTCACTAACAGTTTTCTAATGGTGCCCAGGCAATAAGCTATAGCTTCCACAGCTCACTACCACTCTTCTCAATGCTTCCTTCTTTATAAGCCCCAGTCTCAAAGTTCTCCTCTACCTCCAATCCCTCCTCCTTAGAATTCTTTATGAGGGGAAACAACAGTGAGTCAGCTCTACAGAGTGGACTCCTAACTCGACTATCTCATAAGACATGCAGTGACATTTTATCTGCAACAAAAAGATCAGAACAGTCAGAAAAGAAGCAATTAAAATGAGAATTAAATGACAATTAAAATTAAAATGAAAAACGGAAATGATGAGAAAAAACAGGAGACATTCAAGCTAGGCCTCTTGCTGTTAAAAACACTTTTATTCATGGGGCGCCTGGGTGGCTCAGTTAAGCGTCTGACTTCAGCTCAGGTCATGATCTCACTCTTTGTGGGTTTGAGCCCCGCGTTGGCCTCTGTGCTGACAGCTAGCTCAGAGCCTGGAGCCTGTTTCAGATTCTGTATCTCCTTCTCTCTCTGACCCTCCCCTGCTCAGGCTGTCTCTCTCTCTCTCTCAGAAATAAATAAAACATTAAAAAAAAAAAAAAAAACCCAACACTTTTATTCATGAAGAACCACAGTATTTTCCTATATTAAGAAATGGCATTTATCACTTCAATGTAGATGCTGTGACTCATGAAGAACATATCTATAATATGAAAAAAATAGATTTTGTTGGGTGACTTAAAATATTGGTCTCTACAGATATGTGTGTCTTACTAAAATGTGAATCTATGTTAAGACACAGGGTGCTAACAAAATGAGTATTTTTTTTTAGTATTTATTTTTGAGAGACAGAGAGACAGAGTGCAAGTGGGGGAGAGGCAGAGAAAGGGAGACACAGAATCTAAAATAGACTCCAGGCCCCAAGCTATCAGTACAGAGCCCGACACAGGGCTCGAACTCAGGGACAGCAAAATCATAACCTGAGCCTAAGTCAGAGGCTTAAACGGAGCCACCCACTTGCATCACAAAATGGGTGTTTTTTATGGCTTATAGTATTATCTGAAACCACAGCACATTACACTGATATAATTAATTTTGATAAAGTGCTATTTAAATACTGAATAACTCATGAGCAACAGTTTGTAACTTTTTTTTACAAGAGAAAAAAAACCCAAAAGAGAACAATTTTTATCTGATGCCTAAATTTATAAATGAGTTCCAAGAACTACTGTTGTTGAGAGGCTAAGAACTCACACTAGAATAAAGATACTAGTAAGCCTCCTCTGTCATAGTGCATTAAAGAGGCAAATTTCATGTGAGTTGTCCTTGAACTTCACAAGTTGTGTCCATGGGAGAAGCGAGTATAACTAACCTGGATTAAAATAATGCCATTTCCTTCAAAACCTAAAACTGCAATGAAGGCTCAAAAAATTCTTAACAATTAAAAAATAAATTTTTTTAGTATTTATTTTTGAGAGAAAGAAAGCGAACACAAGTAGGGAAGGGGCAGAGAAGGAGACAAAGAATCTGAAGCAGGCTGCAGGTTCCGAGCTGTCAGCACAGACCCCAACACTGGGCTCAAATCCACAAACCTTAAGATCATGACCTGAGCTGAAGCCTGACAGTTAACTAACTGAGCCACCCAGGTGTCCCTGGCCTCAAAAAATTCTAACAGAGGGGTTGGCCCATAGTAATGGGCCAGGTTCCAGGGCACTCACTGGGCCAGCCACTCACAGTAACATGCCCTTAAACCAAGGAATGTTGGGACTCCAAAGAAGAAAAAGGGCTTCTCAAAACACTGTTTAAAAAAATTTTTTTTTAAATTTATTTCTGAGAGAGAGAGAGAGACAGTGTGAGCAGGGGAGGGTCAGCGAGAGAGGGAGACACAGAATGTGAAACAGACCCAGGCTCTGAGCTAGCTGTCAGCACAGAGCCTGATGCGGGGCTCGAACCCACAAACCGTGAGATCGTGACCTGAGCCAAAGCCAGACACTTAACCGACTGAGCCACCCAGCCGCCCCTAAAAACACTGTTTAAAGTGGCAAAACAGTGGGGCGCCCGGGTGGCTTAGTTGGTTAAGCGCCCGACTTTTGCTCAGGTCATGATCTCGCGGTTCGTGGGTGCGAGCCCCGCGTCGGGCTCTGTGCTGACTGCCAGCTCAGAGCCTGGAGCCTGTTTTAGTCTGTGACTCCCTCTCTCTGACCCTCCCCTGCTCACACTGTCACTGTCTCTCTCCCCCTCCTAGAAATAAATAAAACATTAAAAAAAAAAAATTAAAGTGGCAAAACAGTGACAAATTTGTTCACTGTCCCTTCTATATCCTTCTCCTTCTATTTCCTCAGATCTTTCAATTTCAGAGATTCTAAAGTTACTTCTCTATACAGGACTTAGTTCCACATCTCTAAATACTGCTAGAAAATCTTACTTGGTTGTCTCATTACTCCAAACCCAACTATCTAAACTTGAACTAATCTTTCCATAAAAACTGTCTCTCGCTTCCAAATCCTTTTTAGACTTTACCAAATTAATACATTGTTGGGCTGAGCGATATTATTTTTTATTATCAGTCACTAAGTGCTGCCTTTTTTAAAAAAATGTTTTTATTTATTTCTGAGAGAGAGACAGACAGACAGAAAGTGTTAGCAGGGGAGGGGGAGAGAGAGAGGGAGTCACAGAATCTGAAGCAGGCTCCAGGCTCTGAGCTAGCTGTCAGCACAGAGCCTGATGCGGGGCTCAAAACCATGAACTGTGAGATCATAACCTGAGCTGAATTCGGACACTCAACCTACTGAGCCACCCAAGCGCCCCAAGTGCTGCCTTTTAAATCTTCTGCCTATATCTCTTCAATGTGACTATTTTAGTTTATACCTAATCAGCTAGTGTTTTAATAACCATCCATCAAATATCCTCAGCTCTTGCCTCTCCTTTCAATTCATTCAACAGGTTGCTACCAGAATATTTATGAAAATTTTGTTACTTCAAAAAAAATTTTTTTACTGTTGCCTTATTTTTGAGAGAGAGAGAATATGAACAGGGAAGGGGCAGAGAGAGAGAGAGAGGTAGACAGAATCTGAAGCTGACAGCGCAAAGCCCAACATGGGCCTTGAACCCACGAACTGTGAGATCATGACCTGAGCTGAAGTCAGACTGAGCCACCCAGGCGCCCCTATTTGTTACTTTTCAGTTGAAAAATGTTTTATGATCTCCACTCTACTGAATCAAGTGTAAACTCCTTACATTACAGTTGAGACCTTCTAAAATACACTCTTTTTTTATGCCTTTTTTAAATATATTTTTATTTATTTCTAGGAGAGAGAGAGAGAGAGACAGCGTGAGCAGGGGAGGGTCAGAGAGAGAGGGAGTCACAGACTCTGAAACAGGCTCCAGGCTCTGAGCTGGCAGTCAGCACACAGCCCGACGCGGGGCCTGAACACACGAACCGCAAGATCATGACCTAAGCGAAAGTCGGACGCTTAACCGACTAAGCCACCCAGGCGCCCCTAAAATACACTCTTGAGGTGTCCTTTTTTTCTTTTAAAGATTTTAGTTTTAAGTAATCTCCATGCCTAAAGTGAGGCTCAAACTCACAACCTAAGATCAAGAGTCACATGCTGTACCAACTGAGCCAGCCAGGGGTACTTTGGTGTGTCCTTTTAAGGTTATCTCCTACAACTTTTCCAAGTAAGACCTCTGAGCTAGATAAATGGGTTTATTTATTGTCTTCTCCATATATCATACCTCTCTGCCCCTGCACTTCTACACATATCATTTCCTACAGTTAAATGCTTTTTACTTTTTTTTACCTACTCAAATTTGCTTCAGGAGTATGGTCCAATCCCTTATATTTGTAAAGTATTCCATGCTTACTTTAGGGTGAAGTAATCCCTCTCTCTTCCTTAAAAAGTTATGCTACTCCTTCTATATGATTTCTGTTCTATTAAGTAGGTCCTGGGGCGCTTGCCTGGTTTGGTCAGTAGAGCACGTGACTCTTGATCTCGGGTTGTGAATTTGAGCCCTACATTGGGTGGAGACATTACTTAAAAATAAAACATTAAAACAAAAACAAAAACAAAAAGAGTAGGACTCAGGACATCTATCTATGATCTCCATTCATTCAAGTATTTACTGAGTACAAAGCATTGACTAGGCACTAGCAATAGTGCAGAAAGTAAGTCAGTTACAGGTTTTACTCTTACAAAGGTTTTAAGAGCATGGGCTTCCAAAGTCGGTTTGGGGTGCCTGGTGGCTCTGTCAGTTAAACGTCCAACTTAGGCTCAGGTCATGATCCTGCAGTTTGATTTTGAGCCCCGCATCTGGCTCTCTGCTGACAGCTCAGAGCCTGGAGCCTGCTTCAGATTCTGTGTCTCCCTCTCTCTCTGACCCTTCCCTGTTCACACGGTCTCGCTCTCTCAGAAATTAATAAAACATAAAAAAAAAAGTAAATAAACAAAAAAATAATAATTAATTTTTAATAAAATAAAAAAGATAAAGTCAGGTTGGATTTCTGTATCTATTATTTCAATACAGTATGATCTTACGCAGTTAATTAACTATGTCTATTTCTAAATCCTCTCATGAATGCGAGCCTAAGTAAAAATGGAAAAGATACATAGCACGAGATAGAGTAAAAAACAGGAGTTGGGGCACCTGGGTGGCTCAGTTGGTTAACCATTCAACCTCGGCTCAGGTCATGATCTAATGGTCCGTGGGTTGGAGCCCCATGTTGAGCTCTGCAGTGAGTATGGAGCCTGCCTGGGGTCCTCTCTCCCTCTCTTTCTCTACCCCTCCCCAACTTACGTATGGGCTCTCTCAAAAATGAATAAACATAAAAAAAAAAAGAGAGATAGAAAAAGAAAATAGGAGGAGTAGAGTCCGAGAATGTGGCAGGAGATACGGTAAACAGATCACACTGGTATATGGTACTTTGAAAGGAAAAGGGCACTTTTTTTTTTTTTTACTGTAACTCAAGATAAGAAAAGTTGGTTATAAATGTAGGTAGATTGATATTTTTGATGAGTAGCAGGTTGGTCATTGGCAAAGTGAGGGTTGAAGAGCAGAATGAAGGTTTGAGAAGGAAAGACAAAGCATGAGAAAACTGTCTTACTGAGCAGGAAAAATAATGCCTAAATAAATTGAGTAGGTCCACCAAGCAGCACTGAATGTTAAACTAACATCTGTCGTCTTAAATTTATTATTATTTTTTTAATTTCTGAGAGAGAGAGAAAGACAGCAGGGGAGGGTCAGAGAGAGAGGGAGACACAGAATCTGAAGCAAGCTCCAGGCTCTGAGCTAGCTGTCAGCACAGAGCCCGATGCGGGGCTTAAACCCACGAATCAGGAGATCATGACCTGAGCCAAAATCGGACGTTCAACCGACTGAGCCACCCAGATGCCCCTGTCATCTTAAAGTGAAGACAATCATGGGGCACCTGGGTGGCTCAGGCGGTTGGGTGTCCAACTTTGACTCAGGTCATGATCTCGCAGTTCATGAGTTCAAGCCCCACAGTGGGCTCTGTGCTGATAGTTCAGAGCCTGAAGCCTGCTTTGGATTTTGGGTCTCCCTTTCTCTCTCTTCCCCTCCTCTGCTTGCGCTCTCTCAAAAATAAATAAAATACTAAAATAAATAAATAAATAAATAAGATGAAGACAATCCGCTTTATGTATGATTTTTTTCTCCAGTATGATCAGCTATTAGGGAACAAGCACTGAGAAGACAGTTCTCAGATAAGACTAAGATGAGTTCATCTAAAATGGGCATCTGTTCTGATGGGGAATGGAAATCTGAGGGTATTTGTAAAGGAATGAATTTAATGATGAATCATAAAATCTAGACTAGTGAAGAAGGCAGGTGAAGCCAGGGGAGGCCTAGTGGATGGTAAGAAAGTATCTGAAATTAATAATCTGAAAGATACTAGCACAATGAAGAATTCTGCAACAGCAAGTCTACCTTCTAATTAGTCTTAGGGATAGATAAAGTGCCTTTTATGTCTATTCCAAAAGACGAGTGAAAATAACAAGAATCAACTTTTTTTTTGCTGATTTGGTTAGAGCCCAAAAGCTCACCTGGCATGTTACAGCCAATGTATGACAGATCTGAGTCTTCCCAGTTCGGAATTCTCCAAACATTTCTGTAATGGATCCAGTCTCAATTCCACCTAAAAGAGCAATAAGAAATACCCTTTAGCAAAATACAAACATTCAGAAAGAATAATCATAGAAATGTCCTTGGAGCTCATCAGAAAGACGTATATATAACTTGGAAAACCATTTTTCAACGATCAGTAACTCTTAAAATATTTTTTATTTTGTGGGGCACCTGGGTGGCTCAGTTGGTTAAGCTTCCGACTTCAGCTCAGGTCACGATCTCACAGTTTGTGAGTTCGAGCCCTGCATCAGGCTCTGTGCTGACAGCTAGCTCAGAGCCTGAAGCCTGTTTCAGATCCCTCTCTCTCTGACCCTCCCCTGCTCATGCTGTCTGTCTCTGAGAAATAAATAAAACATTTAAAAATATATTTTTCATTTTGAAATATTTCTAAATTTATAGAAAATTGCTGGGGTGCCTGGATGATTCAGTCAGTTAAGCACCCGACTTCAGCTCAGGTCATGATGTCACAGTCCTTGAGTTCAGGCCCCACGTTGGGCTCTGTGCTGGCAGCTCGGAGCCTGCAGCCTACAGCCTCCTTCTGAGTGAGTGAGTGAGTGTCTCTCTCTCTCTGCCCCACCCCCACTCATGCCTCTATCTCTCTCAAAAGTAAATAAACATTAAAAAAAAAATTTTTTTTAAATCATCAAGAAATATACAGGGAGGTCCCATGAATTCATCACCCAGCCTCCTCCAGTGTTAACATTTTACATAACTACAGTACAGTATCAATATCTGAAAACTGTCAGTGATACAGCCCACAGTTTTCAGATTTGTCCAACCATAGTTGTACTCATCTTATTTGTGTGTATATGTGTACAGCTCTATGCAATTGTATCACATCTGTGGCTTTAACTACCATCACAGTTAAGATACAGAACTATATCAAGTCAATAAGCAGTCACTTAAAAAAATACAGTTATATCATCTAATACTTCCTAATTGTTTCTTGTGTACTTGGCATTGTGCTATACATATTTATGTACCATTTCATATAATTCCAATAACCTACAAGGTAGGAAGTCTTTTTATCCTTATTGTGAAGATAATAAAACTTAAGCATGAGATATTAAGTAACTTGCACATGTAATACATCTAGTAAATGCTGGGAGGAGATACAGAAGGGAGGGCTTAACACTCAAATATAAGTGTGATTGCTGAATACATACATCTGGCATCCCCACAAAAAGAAAACTTTTAAGTATTTGGGGAAGCACCAAGAAAATAAATTTTAAGGAAAGTAATGTTTCCAAAAGTTCAAAAGCTTTACAGCTTTCCATAAAGTCCTGAAGATTAGTGTGTACTACCATGGATTGATATTATAACCTAGTCTTCAAACATGAAGTGTTTTAGTTATCAGATTTTCAACCTTTTGTGAAAGTAGGTTATAATTAATTTCTTTAGGCAAGGGGAGCTTACTCTCTGACTGTGATATTAAGTGGAGACTGAATTGTTAAATTGGCAGATAATTTTTGTCTAAATTAAATTAAAATTTGTCTAAACTCAGGTCCCACCCTGCAGGAGTCTTACTTCTTCAATGTGGATAGTTTTCTTATCTCTTAATCATATCTAACACACAAATTCTACCCAAATACTTCAGTTTTGTTCTGTGACCTGGATGCTTTGCTAACTGTAGTTTACAACAGAGGATAAAGGATTACTATACCTTGAAGTAGTTTGTCAAGTTCTTTGGAACCAGTAGTAATTTGTATGATCTCTGATCGCCTTTGGTGGAATTCAGTTGCAGTAGTGAAACCCATTGGAACTAACTTGGCTGCCTCAGTCTGGGAAAAACAAGTAATGTCAAATCAACAAAATATGCTTATTATTAATAAAACAAGAACCACACATACAGTGGAATGAGACAACATCTAATAAAATTTCTAGAATGATTTCTCTTTAAAAACTTATCAAAATACTAATAGTTCTAGTTCTAGGATTATTTTATCTGACAACTAAGGATAAACTAATCTAGGGACTCCATGAAGATTAATTTTGTAATTACTAATTCAAATAATATATTCATGTAGTTAAATTAAAAAAAAAAACCTATTATAGACCAACAAATATATACTTCACCTGACTTAATGACAAATGTGACGATATGGCACCAAGTCCAACAACATATTTAAGCCCTCATTTCCTGTTCTATCAGCCACAAACTATCTCTCTTAACTTTCTACTTTGTTAAATGAGGACATTTGTCCTTCAGTCTCTTCCTCTTTAATGTCTACTTCACCATCTCTGTCAGATATACCTTTTCTCTTATACTGTCAAGGTTGAAAAACCTTATATCCTGTTCATAGCAGCACTCTCCACAATAGCTAAACCATGGAAAGAGCCTAAGTGTCCATCAACGGACGAATGGATCAAGAAGATGTGGTTTATCTATACGATGGAATACTACATGGCAATGAGAAACAATGAAATCTGGCCATGTGCAGCAACATGGATGGACCTTGAGGGTGTTATGCTGAGAGAAATAAGTCAGGCAGAGAAGGACAAATATCATGTTTGCACGTATAGGAGGATTAGGAGGAACTTAACTGAGGAACAAGGGGGAGAAGAAGGGGGGAAATGGTGGGGGAAAGGGAGGGAGGCAAACCATGAGAGACTCTTGAATGCTGACAAAAACTGAGGACTGATGGATGTGGGGGGGAGGGGGATGGGCATGGAGGAGGGCACTTGTGGGGATGAGCACTGGGTGTTATGTGGAAACTAATTTGACAATAAATATTTGGAAAAAAAAAAAGAAAAAGAAAAACCTTATATCCTATTTTTCAGTCATTGGTACGTCTTCAATCATCCATCAATTAATTCCAAAATTTAAAAATAAATGCATCCTCAAGTTTATGGAAATGAAAGGATACACTCATAAATAACCAATCAGTCAAAGAAAAAATCACAAGGGAAATTAGAAAATGAAGACATAGCATACCAAAACTTATGGGATGCACTCAAAGCAGAGCTTAAAGGGAAATTTATAGCTGTCAATGCCTCTAAGAGCATCAATAACCTAACTTCCATTTAAAGATACCAGAAGAAGAGTGCACTAAACAAAGCAAGCAAAAGGAAGGAAGATTAGAGTAGAAATGAATAAAATAGAGATAGAAATACAACAGAGAAAATCAATGAAACCAGGAGTTGGTTCTTTGAGAAGATCAGCAAAATTGATAAATCTTTAGTCAGATCAAGAAAAAAATTAAAAGACTAGGCTCTGTGCTAGAGCCTGATTCAGATTCTGTGTCTCCCTCTCTCTGCCCCTTCCCTGATTGTGCTTTTTCTCTCAAAAATAAACAAACATTAAAAGAAAATCTGAATACATGTACAGCAAGTACTGAGATTAAACTTTAAACACTTTCCACAAAGAAAAAGCGTAACACTATTTCACTTGAAAACTCATTACATGTTTATATTACAGCTCTGTCAATTCATTGCAGAACCAAACAGTGTACTAGAAATACAATTCTTTCACTGAAGTTAGTGTTAACAACTCAATATCCCTCAAAGGTTTCTGCTATCAAATTCAAATGTATTCTTTTTTATACGCCAGCAGTTTCAAAATCATGCTCCATTTTATCTTGCTTTTATGTTTGAGTCATTTCTCAAATTTTCCAATCTCTCAATCTTGCCATGTATACTAATGAAACGCTTCTGCCTGAAGCTCCTTTCTTTTCCAAACTGGGCTGTTTGCTCTCTAGACTAACTACTGTCTAGAACCCTCCTTCACGGAGTTAAGTTGGAGTCTAACCTAGATCTTTGGTTTTCCACCTTCATTTGTTAAAAGAATATCCTCAAGTAACTGCCTAAGAAAGTGGTTAAGAGAAAAATGTTCTGAATTCTTTTTATTTCTGGAGTACCTGGCTGGCTCAGTCAGTTAAGCATCTAACTCTTGATTATCGTCAGGTCATGATCTTACAGCTGGTGAGTTCAAGCCCTATATCCCACTTTGAGCTGACAGCACAGAGCCTGCTTGGGATTCTCTCTTGCTCCCTCTCTCTCTGCCCCTCTCTCAGTTTGTGTGCTCCTCTCTCTCAAAACTGATTTTTGAAAAGTGAATTATCGTATTTCTGAAAATGTTTTATTCTGTCCGAATACCTGATTAATAAAATTGATACAAATAGAATTCTAGGTTAAAATTATTTTCCCTTAGAACTTTGAAGACGTTGCTCTATTAGCTTCTACCAGCCAGATTTCTGGTAAGAAATGTGGTCTTTCTGATCTTCCATTCCTTTAGAGTTGCTTTTTCTCCCCCTCTGAAATTTTTCAGTCTTTTCTTTATGATTAGTATACTGAAATTTCACGTGTCTAGTGTGGGTTCATGACACTTCATGAGGTCTTACTTCATAAGACTTCTGCTTCCCTTTAGCTCTGGGAAATTTCCTTTTTCTTTTAAATAGCAATTTTTTTCAACATTTATTTATTGAGAGAGACAGACAGAAAGAGCATGAACAGGGGAGGGGCAGAGAGAGGGAGACACAAATTCCAAAGCAGGCTCCAGGCTCTGAGCTGTCAGCATAGAGCCCCATGTAGGGCTTGAATTCACAAACCATGAAATCATAAGCTAAGCCAAAGTTGGACACTTAACCAACTGAGCCACCACTCAAGTGCCCCAGAAATTTTCTTAAATTATGCCTTTGAGAAGTTCTTTCCTTCGTTCTTCTATGATCTCTTTCTGTAACTTCTTCTAATCTTTAGGATAGATAAATGAAGATTAATGAAAACTAGAAATAAAAATACCAAAGCAGGGAAGCAGGTGGGACTATAAACTAATGTTGAACCCTAACATATGCAAAAATATTTAGGGGAAAATGTACTGACACCTTCAAATTTATTTGAAAAGTATAAAGATCCAAGATAGACTGATTGCTGGATACAGCCGTGAACAGAGGGGTGCTAAGTCAATATATTAAAATGTTAATGGCAGTCTAGGTGGTGGGTATATGAATTTTTATTTTAAATTCTTTCAGCATTACAGTAAGTTTAAAAATTGTAATAAGAAAATGCTAAGGAAAAAACTCATAGGAGATGCTTTCCCTGTTTGTCATTTTAACTCCTTTCTAGTCAGTGAGCTTCTACAGGAATAGAATATTATAACCAAAGTGAAATGTTAAGTAAAAACCATGCAACCATGACTAGTCTGGGAGAACTTTACTTCTACTCTCACACTTTAATTAAGTGTACTTTCTTTTAAAACAAAATTTTTTTTTTATGTTTAATTCATTTCTGAGAGAGAGAGAAAGACAGTATGAGCAGGGGAGGGTCAGAGAGAGAGAGGGAGATACAGAATCTGAAAGAGGCTCCAGGCTCTGAGCTAGCTGTCAGCACAGAGCCCAATGCGGGGCTTGAACCCACGAACCACGAGAAGATGACCTGAGCCGAAGCCGGGCGTTCAACTGACTGAGACACCCAGGTGCCCCTAATAAGTGTACTTTCATATGTGCCAGGTAAAGTCTTAAATCTATAGGCTTTTTGTTTTTTTGCAATGTTTCAGCAGCATATTTACTTTGAGAGAGTGTTAGAACCCAAGAGCACAAGTGCATGAGGAGAGGGGCAGAGAAAGAATCCCAAGCAGGTTCCAGAGACTACAGCCTGCTAAGGATTCTCTGTCTCCCTCTCTCTCTGCCCCCTCGCCTGCATGCACTCTGTCTCAAAAATAAACATAAAAAAATTTTTTTAAACATATTACAAAAAATACCTGTGCTGAATATGTCACTGTTCATAATACACCAAGAGAACACAGTTCAACAAAAGCCAATTACAAATAAATTTTGAAAATGTAGAAAAGACCACAGAAGAATTTTGCACTTTCTGAATGAATTATTTTGTTCATAAAATCTTTTTCTCGCAATCATTTCAAGAGATATACTAAAAATGGATTTTCTTTATTTTCCTTTCTTCACTGTGACATTGGATATTCTTGTTGAAAATCTCAACTTCAAAGACTTCAGGGGAATAGAAATGGAAGGGAAGAGCTACAGTGACTAAAGAAATCTTCTTTAACCTTTAAAAGAAAATAATCTTTACCTACTAGAAACTCGCAATATAAAATGTCTGTAATCAAAGAGGACAGAAAAATAGACATCTCTATATCATTCTGCACCTCTCATTTCACTTTATTACAGATCTGTATTTGTGTTTTCACAAAAGCAAAACACTGATTTGATTTCTAAAACTAAGGTCTGATGGGCATAATCACAGATCCTGTCAGGAGTTCTTCTGTCACAAATATTAATGCCCAGAAAGAAAACAGCAAATAGACTTTAGGGACACCTACTGGCTTAGTTATCATAAACACTCTTTAAGGTATTAGGGGCTCAGAACTTATTTCCAATTAAGTTACCAATTCAACAAATATATTTGAGTAATACAATAAATTACAACTTTATACTTCCATGGATAGCAACATCATTCCTCTAAGGACTTAAATTAAGAATTAAAATTTTTTTTAATGTTTATTTATTTATTTTGAAAGAGAAAGTACAGATGCACACATGGGCAGGAAAGAGAGAGAAAGAAGAGAGGAGAGACAGAGTAAAGAGAGAGAGAGAGAGGAGAGAAAGAAAGCGAGCACACACAGACTCCAACGAACCATGAGACTGTGACCTGAGCCAAAAACAAGGGTCGGAAACTCAACTGAGCCACCCAGGTGCCCCAAGAATTACAAGTTTTGAACCCTGACTGAATTACTATTACAGAATAGTCTCAATAAATGAAGATAACACTCCTCTCAGTGATTAAAAAGTACCCAGTATAACAGAATTCATCAAGTTATGTACATATTAATGTATGAGATAATAAGTATTCACAAATCTCAGATATTGTCCATTTGACTAAGTTACATAGCAGTACATACACTGAAGCTACCCATTAACAAAGGATGCAGTCTTTCTTGAGGATTCATTAGCCTTTGAAGATCTTTTCAGTGAAAACTTTCTGTGAAACTGTAACAGTAATCAACATAAAATAATGAAAATACAATTTTACAGATATTCACTTTATGCTATATAAAATTTCAAGAGTAGGTGGGTGTGGGGTGGCTCAATTGGTTAGGTATCCAAATTCAGCCTAGGTCATGATCTCAGTTTGTGGGTTCAAGCCCCACACTGAGCTCTCTGTTATCAATGCAGAGCCTGCTTTGGGTCCTCTGTCCTTGTTTCACTCTGCCCCTCCCCTTCTCATGGTCTCTCTCTCTCAAAAATGAATAAACAGTAAAAGACAAAAAACCAAAAAATACAAGGGCAAAGCTAATCAAACTATATATATAAATATCAAATGCATAAAATAAAATGTAATCATGGAGAATTATGAATGCTGAAGAAAAATTAATAGTAGCTGTTAAGACACTGGACAGAGATGAGAAAAGATCAGAATAGGATAGGATGAAAATAACTGGATTCTAGTCTTAGTTCTACCATTGCCTGCATGACCTTGAACCACTGTACCTAAGCTTCCTCATCTGTAAAACAGAAATTACTGGCCCTACCTATCTTTCTCTGTGTGTTATGAAGATCAGTTAAGACTATATATGAAAGGGATGGGATTTCAAAGTTAAAGTGCTATATAAGGGATTATTAGGTTACTACCTCATTTCTGTTAAACCAGTAAAATCACCTTTATGTCATTAAGGTTTAAAAAACAAAACTAAGAGCATGATTTGAAATCACATTCTCTTGTCATTAGTAAAGAATCTTGCCTGTGTTCTGTGCTTATAGCACGGAGTTTACTTGGGATTTTCTCTCCCCCTCTGGCGACCTCTCCCCCACTCATGCGGTCTCTAAATAAACTTAAAAAAAACTAAAAATAATAATAATAATAATCTTGCCTGTGATTAGTCTACTAACAGATCATACACACTTAGAGCCTAATTAACATGGCTTTAATATTCAAGAAATAAAAAGTTTTTCTATTTGAAAGTAAAACAGGTTCATTATGGAAAATACAGAAACCTCAGAGAACTGAGGCAAAAATAAACACTGCTCATATTCTTACCACCCAGAAATAACATTTTAGTGTACTTATTCTATGTGCTATACATAAATACACACATTTGTAAAAACAAAAATCAACCATGTATATATATATTTACACATTTCATTAGCCTGCTTTCTTAGATCATGAACATTTTTCTATGTCAATGAGTATTTTTTGAAACTCTTTTTAGTGGCTACATACTAATCAATTTATTTCTAAGGCATGAGATCATAATTTCTAGAAAGATAAGGTACATACTACTCACTGCTGGTGGGAATGCAAATTTGTCAATTTGGCAGTACTTACATCACACCACGAAATTACAATTTCCTTGAAAGAAAATCCCAATTTATGCAAGGAGACACATGTAAAGATAGGTAACTAATGAAGTCACCTCTGGAAAGGGGGCCAGGATGACACAAGGACGAGGGATGGGGGGAGGAACGCTGCTGCCTTTCACTGTATACCCTTTTGTACTACTCCTGCTAATGCCTCCCTAGTCACATAAGCAGTACTTACCAGAATTTTATCAGCTTTGGCTTCACTAATCCCCTTAATATTTATTAGTTCCTTCTTTGGTGCATAGGCAACAGCCTCCACAGTATGGAATCCAGCTTCTTCCAATTTCTTCACATCATTGGCATTTATGCCACATTGCTGCAAGTTAAAACCATGGATAAATATAAGCTTCAGTTCTGTCACCAAATATGGATATTGGCCCTACCCATTTCAGAGTGATTTTGAAGAACAGTGATATTATACACAAAAGCTGTGAAACGTATGTTCTACACTAATGGGTGTTTAATAACAAATTATCAACCGTTTCATTCTGAAAACAAATTTTTACACTAGCACTATTCCATGTGCTAGGAATTCCCGGGCACTAACCCGTAACTCTCAACCTTTCCTGACTGGAACTCTAAATGAACTGAGACTCTGGGTCCTAAGAAGCCACCTTAAACCAGTGTTTCCTAATGTTTTCTACATCAAGCACACATAAAAACTAATTTTTTTTTTTTACACTAAGGTGGAATAAACAGATAAGTCTGCCCCAGAGCTGAGGGGAGCACTATCTTAGCATATTAACACCGTTTTGTTAGCACAATGACTGGAAAGCTCTGATTTAACAACTGACACTAAAAATGGGAAAAATTACTTTTCATCAGGGACTCCTATACCACTTCTCAAAACAAACCTCCCAAAGACACCTCTTCCCTCCTGTATTGCAAAGTCAGCTTTGGTTTTATTAGTCACAAAAACCATGATTTCTGGGACAATATTGGTTAGTGGCACAATTATGTATGTATTTGCAAGTCAAGGAAGGTTTGAGAGAGGGGAGAGAATATTATCTGCCCCACAGAAACAAACTCTATTACTATTTAAGCAGTAAGCAAAATGCATGTGTGGGTATAAGGATGCTCATGGTAACAAAAGTTAACTTTGAACCCTATACTGTTTAACACAAATCTATTTAACTTCTGGAATCTTGAAGCTTAGCTGGGGATGGCAAAAATATGTGTAAAGAGAAGAACGAAGGCTTTTCTTCTTTCCCTCCTACTTCTTTCAGCCTATGTCAGCTGCACTTACACTGGGGCCTCTGCACAATGGGATATAGTACAAGGCCACAGCTCTGGTACTTGATGCTCCTGTGCAGTCCTGAATTGGACCATGGCTCTTATATCTTAATAACCACAAGCCCTTCTCCCTGATCATGACAGCTGTCTTGCTAGTAACTTCAGCACAGATATGGGTCAATGGAGAGATACCGCTCCTCTCTCTTCCCTGTAGAGCTAGCCCAGGCCACTGTAATTCCCTGGAGAACAATTTCATATAGAGTATAAACATCACAGAGACTCCATCATAGGACCCTAGAACTTTTTAGGTTTTGACAACCCAACTCTGAGAAAGAAAAAATGATAAAGTAGACGAATTCTTAACGAAAGAGATCTGGCCAAACATGCTTAGCAACCATCTTAAGCTTTCCACAGGATTCTTGACAATACTTCTAAAAACTCCAGTTTGTGTCTTGACCTTAGGCAATAAACCAATGGTTTACGTAAAAGCTGTTGTGATTTCTCCCAGTAGGTAGAAGACTCTAATTCTGCATTATAATTCCAAAATTAGCAACTAAGCACATACCTCTAATCGTGAAATAGGTTGTGGGCCAAAGCTCTCTTCTTCCACTGAAGTATCTGCATTTGCTTCAAGCTGCATTTGCATAGCCATTCCTCAGGGTTTTTTCTTTTCTTTTTTAATGTTTTATTTATTTCTAGGAGAGAGAGAGAGAGAGAGAGACAGCGTGAGCAGGGGAGGGTCAGAGAGAGAGGGAGTCACAGACTNACGAAATGTTCAGAATAGACAAACCCACAGAGAAAAAAGTAGATTGGCAGTTGCTGAGGGCTGAGATGGTTGGAATAAAACAGGGAGGGAATTTTAACGGGTATGGGATTTCTTTTTGGGTGGATGAAAATATTCAAAATGACAATTGTACAGCTCTGGATGTGCTTGAGCCATTTCACTGTCCATTTTTTAAAAAATGTTTTTTATTTATTTCTAGGAGAGAGAGAGAGAGACAGCGTGAGCAGGGGATGGTCAGAGAGAGAGGGAGTCACAGACTGAAACAGGCTCCGGGCTCTGAGCTGGCAGTCAGCACAGAGCCCGACGCGGGGCTCGAACCCACGAACCGCGAGATCATGACCTAAGCAAAAGTGAGACGCTTAACCTACTAAGCCACCCGCAGCGTCCCCCGCAGCGTTTTTCAATACTGAAAAATACAGATGGCCAGAGTTAAGTACAGAGCTGCAAACTTTGTTTTGCAACAAGTCTCTGAAGAATTATTTGTTAGGCTTTTGGTCTAATCGCTGACCTACCCATGGCAGGAAAACGAACATGTGTCTCATCACCTTTTCCCTTCTGCCCAGCTAGTTCTATCAAAGAGAGTTTAGGAAGAGTCAGAACTAGTTTGCTTCTTAAAGATGCACAGCTTAACTAGACCAACTATGTCCCCGGTTTCTCTGCTTCATACTCCTTGAAGTTAGGGACCAAATCTTATTTATATATCTGTGTCTCCCTCTCTCTCTGACCCTCCCCTGTTCATGCTGTCTCTCTCTCTCTCTCTCAAAAATAAATAAAACATTAAAAAAAAGAAAGAAAGAAATATAGTTAACACACAATGTCACATTAGTTTCAGGTGTGCAACATAGTGATCTGACAACTCTATGTTATGTTATGCTCACCACAGGTATAGCTACCATCTGCCACCATACAACACTGAGAGGGAGAAGCAAAATCTAGAACCAGTTCCAGGCTCTGAGCTAGCTGTCAGCACAGAGCCTGACTGAGGTTTGAACCCACGAACCGTGAGATCACGCCCTGAGCTGAAGTCAGAAGCTTAACCTACTGAGCCACCCAGGCACCCTGTAAGAAATCTTTAACAGATTAGGTCCTCCCATATGGCTGCAAACAGGAATATCTCATTTTTCTTAAAGTCTAAGAGTAATATTCTATTCCATGTACACACACACATACACACACACCCCTACTTTATCCATTCATGGATGGATGGACACTTGTGTTACTTTACATCTTGGCTATTGCAAATAATGCTGCAATAAACATTGGGACACATATATTTTTTCAAGTTAGTGGGGTTTTTTGTTTTGTTTTCTTTGGGTAAATACCCAGTAGTGCAATTACTGAATCATATGGTATTTCTATTTTCAATTTTTAGAGGAACCTCTATACTGTTTTCTACAGTACTGGCACTAATTTACATTCCCACCAATAGGGCAGGAGGGTTCCTTTTTCTCCACATCGTCACCAACACTTGTTATTTTCTCTTTTTTTTTTTTTAAGATTTTATTTTTAAGCAATCTCTACACCTAACCTGGGGCTTGAATTAACAACTGTGAAAACAAAAGTTACATGCTCCCCTGACCGAGCCTGCCAGGCTCCCTATTTCTTTCTTCCTAAGCTTATTTATTTTAAGAGAGAGAGAGAGAGAGAGAGAGAGAGGGAGGGAGGGAGGGAGGGAGGGAGGGAATACTAAGCAGGCTCTGCACTGTCAGTGGAGAGCCCAAAGCAGGGCTCAATCTCACCAACAGTGAGATCATGCCCTAAGCCAAAATCAAAAGTCAGATATTTAAACAACTGAGCTCCTCTTACCTTTTTAATTTTAGCCATTCTGACAGGTGGGAGAGGATATCTCATTGAGGTTTTGATTTGCATTTCCCTGATTAGTGATTTGAGTACATTTTCAGTGTGTCTGTCATCTGTATGTCGTCTTTGGAGATGACCATTTGTTCTTTATAATGTTTATTTTTGAGAGAGAGAGAGGTGGAGAGAGAGGGAGGGGGGGGAGGGGGGAAGAGGGAGAGAGAGAATCAGAGTGCGAGCAGGAGAGGGGCAGAGAGAGGGGGAGGCACAGAACCTGAAGCAGGCTCCAGAACCTGAAGCAGGGCTCAAGCTCATAAACCGTGACATCATGACCTGGGCCTAAGTCAGAAGCTTAACCGACTGAGCAACCCAGGCGCCCCAACGGACATGACCATTTGTTCTTGATTATTTCAGGTGCAGATCTCTTAAATGGCAGATTTAGCATAATGTGTGTCTATGATAATGCTAAATATCAGAATCACCTGAATCCAATTTAGGTTTAAATATCTTTCTTCATAATTTATGAAAAAGATCAAACTGCAGAGTAATAAAGGATAGTCTTTTCTTTTTCTTCTTTTAGGTTTATTCATTTATTTTGAAAGATAGCTCACAAAGCAGGGATAGGTAGAGATAGGGAGGGACAGAGAGAATCCCAAGCAGACCCAATGCCCAGCGCGGAGCCCTACATGGGACTCACAATTGTGACATCAGGACCCGAGTTGAAATCAAGAGTGAGATGCTTAACTGACCGAGCCACCCAGGTGCTTCAAGAGTCCAAAGCTTAACCGACTGAGCCATGCAGGTGCCCCAGGATGGTCTTTTCAATAAACACTGCTGGGTTAATGGAGAGCCTTACAGAATAAGAAACACAAACACACTCAATTTCCAATTTAATTACAGATCTTCATGCAAAGTAAAACAATGCTTTTGGAATATAGGCAAATATCTTCATGACTTTGGGATAAAGATTTCTTAAAAACTTTATTTTTAGTTTTGAGAGAGTACAAGTAGGAGAGGGGCACACAGGAACTGATGTGGGCTTTGTGACAGCAGCAAGCTGGATGTGGGGCTTGAACTCATAAACTGTGATATCATGACCTGAGCCGAAGTCCAACGTTCAACTGACTGAGCCACCCAGGTGCCCCAGGATAAAGATTTCTTACAGGGTGCCTGGGTGGCTCAGTAGGTTAAGCTTCTGACTTCAGCTCAGGGCGTGATCTCACGGTTCGTGGGTTCAAACCTCAGTCAGGCTCTGTGCTGACAGCTAGCTCAGAGCCTGGAACTGGTTCTAGATTTTGCTTCTCCCTCTCTCTGACCCTCCCCTGCTCATGCTGTCTCTCTCTCAGAAATAAAAAACATTTTTAAAAAATTTCTTAAACCAGATACATAAAGCAATAACCAAAAAAGAAAAGACTGAAAAACTGAACTACACTTAACCTTAGAACTCTATCAAAAGACACTATTAAGAAAAAAAAAAAAAAAAGACACTATTAAGAAAACGAAAACTCAAGGGCCCCTGGGCAGCTCAGTCAATTATGTTTCACTCTGGATTTCAGCTCAGGTCACAATCTCACAGTTCGAGGGATCAAGCCCTGCATTGGGATCCTCTCTCTGCCCCATTTCTGCCCCCCCCCCCCCACCCAGTAAATAAACGTTTGGGGAAAAAAAAAAGTCAGGTGTGAATCTCAGCTTCAGATTCTTAATCTCAGCTAAGGTCATGATCTCATGCTTCATGAGATCAAGCACAGAACCTATTTGGGACTCTCGCTCTATAGCTCACATGCTATGAGTGCTATGAGTGTGCTCTCTCTCAAAATAAACAAACAAGAAAAAAGAAAATGAAAAGTCAAACTATAGTTAGGGAACAAAGTATTTACACAAATACAACCAAGGACTTATAATCAGAAAATATAAAGAACTTCAAATTAACAAGAAAGACAACCCAATAGAAAAACAGACAAGATATCTGAACAAGCACTTCACGAAAGAGGATATCCAAATGGCCAATAAACATATGAACTAACACTCAATTTGATTAATCAGGAAAATGAAAATTAAAACCATGAGATATTAGTATATGCAACCAGAATAGGTAAGATTAAATAGACTGAAAATATCAATAGTTGGCAAGCATGCAAAACTGAACACTGCTACACTACTGATTTGAATGTAAACTGATACTTTAGAAAACTGACATTAAAGGTGAAAGTTGAATATAGAAAATGCTATGAACCAGGAATTTCAATACTCTGTATTATTAACCAACTGAAAAGCATATACATGTACACCAAAGTGTACACAGGAAATGGTTTCAGCAGCCTTTCTCATTAAAAAAGCCAAAAACTGGGCACCTGGGTGGTTCAGTTGGTTAAGCCTTTGACTCTTGATTTCGGCTCAGGTTATGATTTCACGGTCATGAAACTGAGCCCCACATTGGGCTCCACACTGAGCACAGAGCCTGTTTGGTTTCTCTCTCTCCCTCTCTCTGATCCTCCCTCACTCATGTACACTCTCAAAATAAATAAACATTAAAAATAAAATAAAATGGGGGCACCTGGGTGGCTCAGTCAGTTAAGTCAGACTTCAGCTCAGGTCATGATCTCCAGCCCAGAATCGGGAGCTTTCTTGTCAGCAAGGAGCCTGGAGACTGCTTTAGATTGTGTCTCCCTCCCTACCGGCCACTCCCCAGCTCGCTCTCTTTGTCTACAATAAACATTAAATTAAAAAAGAAAATAAAAATTAAAAGCCAAAAACTGGAAACAATCCAAATGCCCACCATGGGCAGAATGAATAAGGAATTCAATACAGCAACAGGAAAGAACTACTGCCATATACAAAGATACGTATAAACCTACAGACAGAAAGTTAAGCAAAACCTGACACAAAATATAAAGACCATTACTTATTAAAAAATTCAAACAGGCAAATTTAGTCACTGGTATTAGAAGTCAATACAGTGGTTACCTTTGAGGAGAAAAGGAAACATACTGGAGGGCTAACAAGGAAGGCTTTTGGGGTGCTGACGACATTCTTTTTTTTTTTTTAATTTTTTTTTCTTTATTTCTAGGAGAGAGAGAGAGAGAGAGTGAGCAGGGGAGGGTCAGAGAGAGAGGGAGTCACAGACTGAAACAGGCTCCAGGCTCTGAGCCGGCAGTCAGCACAGAGCCCGACGCGGGGCTCGAACCCACGAACCGCGAGATCATGACCTAAGCGAAAGTCGGACGCTTAACCGACTAAGCCACCCAGGCGCCCCACGACATTCTAGTTTTTGACCTGAGCAGTGATTACATGCGTATATTCTTTCCGAAATAATTCACGGCACCGTGTCCACTTTCGGATGGGTGCATTCCTCTATACGCATATTACACTTCACTTTACAAGGTAAAAAAAAAAACAAAAAACAAAAAACAAAAACCCACCTTACTACAGACCATATTGAACGGCCTTCCTTCTTAAGTAATGCAACCCCCTTTTTGGAAACTGGAGGGGGTACTTGTAAGCACAGCTGGGTGTAATCGAAAGAGTACAGACCGGAAATACGGAAGCCCCGGCCCGGGCAGAAACAGCTGAGACATTAAATCACCACACCTCTCGGAATTTCGGCTTTCTCGCACCCGCCCATAAAATGGGTGTTAGAAATGAAGGTTTCTGAAAGGTTCCTCGCAGCTCTGGAGCCTGGGGCCCGCTACCGTTTTCGCCACAAGCTCTGACAATGGGTCGGGCCCGGGCATGCCCCTGCTCCACCCCGGCCAACTCATTCGGCGCTGAGGGGTCCCAGAAGCCCGACGGGGGGCTCCGACAAGGGACCTGCTCAGGACGGGACTTAACGCTGAGGCAAAAAGGGGCCAAGTCCGCTCCTGACACACTCACCTCGGTCCGCGGCGCTCCTCGCTCCGACGGGCTGAGAGCTCCGACTTCCGTCCGCTGCCTCGGTCCGCACCCGACCGGGACGGACCCCAGACCCCTTCGCTTGCGGCCCACTTGTTCCGGCCTTCTGGGCGCCACCCAGGCGAAACGTGGCTCCCAACTATCCCACTCCGGGTGCGTCTCCGCTCTCCTCAGCCCTCGGTTTCAGGCCACAGCGCGCGCTCGGGGCTGCAGCTTTCGGTGATCCCGCCAACTTCTCAGGCTGGGTCACGCCAGCGTCAACGTAACGTCTCCCCGCCCTCCGCGGCTCTGCCTTCTAGTCCGGTCCGACGCTGTTCGCCAGCCCCAGAGATTGGCCTAGAGAACTTTCACCTTGCTTGTTGTTATGAACTTCTCTCTCTGCAGTTTTCAGAGATCCCGCCAAATTCTCTGGCGGAGTCACGCCAGCGTCAACGTAACGTCGCCCCGCCCTCCTCGGCTCTGCCTTCCAGCCCCTTCAGATGCTGCTCCCGAGCCCGAGTGATGGGTCTAGGGCACTTGACCTTGCATGATGTTATGAATTTCCCTCTTCCATTTACCTCTGAAAACTAACTCAAAGTTTGGGAGTCGCTGCCTTCTTTTCTTTCACCAGACCGAGGACTACAACTCCCAGGAGGTAGTGGAGTCGCCCGGAGACTCCATCTCCCAGTATGCACCGCGGGCACACGCCTGTTTTAGTGCCTCAGCCCCTCGGGGGAGAAGCTTCGCTGCAGAGCGTGGTTCTTGATTTTGCTTGTAAAGTAGCTAGCTAAACATGGGCTTTTCGCGCTTTAGATTGCTCTGAACTTCCGATTCTATCAATTCCCGGAGCCTGGCGTTTTCCAGGCCTCTGGAGATAGTGGGGCTAGGGATGCTCGAGTAGCCAGATGGAACTGGAAAACAAAGCGAATGGGAGAAAAATGGCTGAAATATTAGTCAAGCTCTGGTACTTCACTGGAGATTTGCAAGCCTCCGGAGGAAGGAGGCATTGATTTTGGGAATGGTTTACTAGAAAGATTGACCTGTGATTCTGGTTTTAAAGAGTGAATGAGGTTTCCTGGGCAAAGAGACGGAAGACAGAATCAAGGAGATCAGATTAGGCGTGGAAATTAACGTCATGATTAAGGAATATTGTCTGATGAGGGAAGAAAAGTATTGTGGAGGTGCTGATACCGGAAAGTTAATGTTTAGTTCAGGTTATGAAGGAGCTTAAGAACATGTCTGGAGCTTTTTGGTCTTTATTCTTTAAGTAATGGGGCAATCATTTAAAGTTTTTGAGCAGACGAGTCCTATGGGCTTTTGTGTTTTTTTCCCCCAATTTCCCCCCTCACTAGTTTTATTTAGACTTAAGTCTATTCCCCCTCACACTAGTTTTTATTTGTGGAGTGCTTTAAAGTTCATAAAGTTTTTATTTAATTCTCTCGTCTTGTGACAATGAGAGATTTTAGGAAAGTGAGAGTAAGGACAGCAAAAACTGTTAGTAAGCCCTTGCAATATTTCAGACAAGTGATGAAGGCTTGTCTGAGCTGGAGCAATGACAGAACAAATTCAGGAAGCATTCTAGAGGTAGAATCAACCTAGCTTTCTGATTACAGATAGTACCTGGAGATAATAGTCAACTGCCTTCCGTACCAAAGATACCCACCTTTACCTCTCATTCTTCACACACTTAGAACATCTGCAAACCCACAGCCCCTCTTTGCTGAATGAAATCATAATGTGACTTTGACCTTTCATTAAAATCAAATTCCTGTGGCTATGTGGATGTGAAACCAGAGAAACCCTGTCTGTAGAACGGTTAAGAAATTGAGACACTGAGAAAGAGACCATTCTGAAATCTCACTGCTTTCCAGATATTTCCAATTTCTCAAGAGTCCTAGCAGTACTTACTGTTCTTGAGATCTATGAGATACTCCTACACTCCAATAAATGTCCCTTCCATTTCTTCTGCTTAAACCAGTTTGAGTAGTTTTCTAACCAATTGAGTTAGACAACCCACTAAACACTTGGAAATAAGAAAACTAGGTTTCTTGCTAACAGTTTAAGCAATCCATGTGAAAATTTATAAATGTGTGGTTGAAAAGTTTTGAATGTATCCTAAATTACAATCTGAATGACCTATCTGAAATCTCAAGGAGCTAACCTCTAGTAAAACCAAAATGTAATCATCAGAAACATAATCTTTTGTCTCAAGGAAAATAATCTCATGGCATAGGCAGCCTGGAGCATATAAAGGGAAATCTATTGCCATGTCAAAGTGAAACCAATTGAGTAGTATAAGGATGATTCACTATTAGGAAATCTATTATAATTGACCATATTAATAGGTCAAGGAGGAAACTTGTTAATTTCATTATTTTGAAAAAGCATTCAATAAAATTCAACATGAATTCCTAATTAAGAGGAGGAAAAGGTAAGAAGGAATTAAAGGGGTGGCTGCGTGGCTCAGTGAAGCGTCTGACTTCAGCTCAGGTCATGATCTCACGATTCATGGATTCGGGTTTGAGGCCTGCATCAGGCTCTGTGCTGACAGCTCAGAGTCTGGAACCTGCTTCGGATTCTGTGTCTCCCCCTCTCTCTGCCCCTCCCCTGCTTCCACTCTCTCTCAAAAATTAACATTAAAAAAATGAATAAAAAGGAATTAGATAGATGTTTTCTTAGCGTGATCAGGAAAAAAACATAGATATCCCAAACAAGCTACCATTATCTGCTTACTGGTAAAATGTTAGAAATATTTTGATTAAAATCAAGAACAGGAGCACCTTGGGTAGCTCACTAGGAGGAGGATGTGACTCTTGTGAGTTCTAGCCCCACGTTGGGTGTAGAGAGAAATATCAATGTTGTAGAGATCTGTAGAGATAATCTGTAGAGATAAATATCAACTGAGCCTGGTTGGCTCAGTTGGTTAAGTGTCCTTCATCCGACTCTTGATTTTGGCTCAGATTATGATGTCACTGTCGTGAGACTGAGCCCCTCATCATGCTCTATGGCAGGCATAGAGCCTGCTTGGGATTTCTTCTCTCCCTCTCCATCTGCCCCTCTCCTGCTGGTGTGCTCTCTGTTATATGTTTCAAAAAAAAGTATCAACCAATCAAGAACAAAATTATGTATTGCTACGATTATTTACTATTGTTCAGAAAGTGTCACTGAGTGTAATAAGTAAAGATAATAGGGGCACCGGGGTGGCTTAGTTGGTTAAGCATCTGACTTCAGCTCAGGTCATGATCTCATGGTTCATTGGTTCAAGTCCTGCGTTAGGCTCTGTGCTGACAGCTCAGAGCCTGCTTTGGATTCTGTGTCTCCCTCTCTGTCCCTCCCCAACCTGTGCTCTCTCTCTCTCAAAAGTAAATAAACATAAAACAAATTTTAAAAAATAAAATAATGAAAGATATAAATGTTGGGAAAGATTTATAGGTATGATTATATACCTGGATCGTTTAAAGGACAATAAGAAGGTATATTAGTGCCTGGGTGGCTCAGTCGGTTACTTGTCCAATTCTTGATTTGGGCTCATGTCATGATCTCACAGTTTGTGAGTTTGAACCCCCATTGGGCTCTGCGCTGACCCTGTGGAGCCTGCTTGGGATTCTTTCTCTCCCCCTCTCTCTTTGCCCCTTACCCCCCTACTCAAAATAACTAAAAAATGAAAAAAGTACATTAGTGTAACAAATTACAAAATATAAAAAGATCAGCACTTAATTGAGTCTTAATTAGACAATGTAATAGAAAAAAGATCCCATTCACAGTAGCAACAAAACCCATAAGTGTCTAGGAATAAACTTTGAGAAATGTTCAGGACTTATATGGAGAATTCTCTGAAACTGTCTTCTCAGAGGAGAAGGCTCAAAATTATAAAGTTGAAAATTCTCCAACATCAACAAATTCCCAATCGAAATCCCAATGAGATTCATGACAATCACCATTGGTTACCTACCCAAGAGCCATTGCTCTTCTTTATGGCTAAGAGTACCTAGTATGTGGGAGGATGCCCAGTACTAAGATTTTGGATGACTTTGCCTTCCTCTGTATTCTTTTGTATATTATATGAATTTTTGGTTTGAATTTATTTTGACCCTATGATGATAATTTAAAAATTGTAACAAAAACATAAAATGCCTTGGAATCAGTTTAACAAGAAAAGTGTAAATCCTATATGAAGGAAACTTTAAGATATCAAAGTAGGACACAAAACAGAAAAGCATACTATCAGAAGACTCAGTTTGTTGAAGATGTCAGTTTTCCATTAGTTGATCTTTAATATATCATGATCTCAGTAAAAATGACAGCAAGATTTTTTGGGGAACAGAAAAAGCTAGTTCTTACATTTATATAATTAAAAAGCAAGAAGAGCCGGGAAAACTCTAAAATAATAGATCCTGAACTGACCAGATATTAAAACATATTATAAAACTACAATAATTACAAAGTACTTGTACAATAAGATGGGTCAATAGAATAGAATATTTTTATCAGTGCCTTAGTTTCCTATTGCTGGTGTAACATATTATCACAAATTTAGTGGCTTAAAATAACAAAAACGTATTACAGTTCTGGAGGTCATTCCTAAATGGGTTTCACTAGGCTAAAATCGAGGTCTTGGCAGAATTGTGGCTCTTCTAGAAATCCTAGGACAAAATCTTGCCTTTTTCAGCTTCTAGAGACATCTGCATTTTCCCCCCAACATTTATTTTTGAGAGATAGAGACAAAGAGTTAGCAGGGGAGAGGTAGAGAAAGAGGGAGACACAGAATCCAAAATCTGAAGCAGGCTTCAGGCTCTGAGCTGTCAGTACAGAGCCCAAATGGGCAGCTTGAATTTACAAGCCATGAGATCATGACCTGAGCCAAAGTTGGAAGCTTAACTGACTGAGCCACTTAGGCACCCCATGGGGCATCTGCGTTCTTTTTTTTTTTTTAATTTTTTAAAATGTTTTACTTATTTCTGAGAGAGAGAGAGAGAGACAGCGCGAGAACGGGAGGGTCAGAGAGAGAGGGAGACACAGAATCTGAAACAGGCTCCAGGCTCTGAGCTAGCTGTCAGCACAGAGCCCGACACGGGGCTTGAACCCATGAACAGTGAGATCATGACCTGATCCGAAGTCAGATGCTTAACTGCCTGAGCCACGCAGGCGCCACCCCCACCTTTTTTTTTTTTTTTTAATTTTTAAAGGATTACTTATTTTTGAGAGACAGAGACAAACTGTGAGTCAGGGAAGGGCATAGGGAGTCGCAGAATCCTTAGCAGGCTCCAGGCTCTGAGCTGTCACCACAGAGCCAGATGCAGGGCTCCAACTCACAAGCTCTGAGATCAGGGCCTGATCCAAATAGACGCTTAACTGACTGAGCCACCCAGGCGCCCCAGGGGCATCTGTATTCTGAGCCATCTTACTTACATTACC